AAAAAATTAATTGTGAAAATCAAAGTCTCTATACTTTCTATATTATTTTTGTGCTCTCATACAAGATTAATAACAATTGTCATATCCTTTTTAAACTATAATAGATAAAATTGAATTTATATAAATCTGATTATTCTAGTAGACTATTCTATAGTTAAAAGATCAGGCACATGTATATATAATCGCAAACAAATTACATCAGTCCAATTTTGCCGATCAATTATCATTCCCGTTATAATCGATCCAATTACAGAAACGCAATCTACATCGATCGATTGTAGACATCTTTGACTTCCAATCGGCGGACCCCCTCGTAATTTTCAAGAGTTAGAGAATAAGGAAAGGCGAGACAGTGTGGTCCAATTAATTGCAGTTTTGTCGCGTACTCGACATAAGATCTAGTTATAAACTACTAAAATTCTCTTTTTCTCTCTTTCTAATTTTTATCGACGCGGTCTACGTCGTTCTTCTTCCTACCAATTCCTACGAATCGACTTCCATTGACGTTTCGGAAACGGAACAACGAAATTAGTTCCGTTGGCAATAAGAGATTGTCATAGGTTTTCAAGTTATGTGATACGCGCACGTCGCGCGTTTTGTGTAGCTGTTTTGCGCTACACAGTAGATTTTCCTAATTATATCATGCCGTTCGCGCGATCGTATCTCGTTTACACGATGCGCAGAATATTCTTTTCGTACTCTTTCTCTCTCTCTCTCTCTCTCTCTCTCTCTCTCTCTCTCTTTCGTTCTTTCTCCCGAAAAGTTCAACCTCCCTCTAAATGCTCGACTTGTTCGTTTTGGCAAGTTCACGGCGGCGAAGAGACTATAATATAACGACTATATTGTCATGCACTACAGTCTTTCTTAGAGCCCTTTCTTAAATCCCTCCCGCGATCTTCCACCATAATGTTTTTCCGCCGTGCAGTGTATACCATGTGTATAACATGTGTGTATAACTATGTTTCATCCCCTGGAAATATATCTCGTACAACTAGAGACTACATCGGCTCGTACATTCGCCCTGGATTAAGAGGGCGGATCCAACGATCCACCGGTGGAGGACGGTCTCTCGGGTATCTCCTTGCTTTCGTCCGTGTCGCCACTGCCTCTACCATTTCTCATCGTCGTAGTAGAGGAGATGGTGGTCGAGACGTCCTGGATCTCGTCGTCGCGCAATCTGCCACCGCGCCGTTGTCCGTTGCTGCTGCTCGCCGAGTCTGTGTCGTCCACGTATATTCTCACGTCAGATCCGATCGCGCCGCCCTCGCCGATGTGCACTCCATCGTCGTTGCCACTGCCGCTACCATTGCAACTACCGTTGCTGATGCTACCAGCCGCGCCAGCACTCACGGCGACGCTGATGCTGGCGACGGCGCTGAGACTGCCGGCGACGCTCAGGCTACCGGTACTCTCACTCGCGTTGCCGCACGGCGAAGGGATTTCGTCGGATCTTTCCTCGGTGGTGACATAAATGTGGCTGTAACCCTCGCCGCGGATCATCGCGCTGTACTGATCGCTGGCGATGCTGGTGGTGGTGGACGCGCCAGCGTCATGCGTTTTCAATTTGGACGGCCTCCTCTCGTTGATAACAGACTGCACGTCAAGGTCTTCTTGGGGTGGCGTCGGCACCGTCGTTGTCGTCGGGCGTCTTCTCTCTTCTATCATCTTCTTCTTTGGTTCCTCCAACCGAGCTTTGCCACCGACATAGCCATTCGCGATGCTGGGCGTTCGCGTACTGCTAGTACCGGCGCTCGCGCTCGTCGTATCCGATGGCGTCGGTGATTGCGTGTCGCTCGATGCCCGGCTCATCGTCGCCTTGGACGGGTAGATCTCGGCGGTTGGCATGAGGTAACGATCGCTGCTCAATTTTGGCGGGACGCTTAGGGTGCTGCTCGAGCCGGGGGATGTGACCAATAAGGGGCTGGTCGGCGGCTTGCTTACGGTTAACAGAGATTTATTTTCACGCATTTCACTAGTGGTCACCTGTAAGATTGATGTTGACTATATAATTATATCGATATTTCACTAATTCTGGATGATAATTTTTGTAAATGTATTAAAAACAATTTTTTGCTAAGAGAAATTAAGAGGAAATGAGAATTTTTTTTTTACAAAAGTGATTTAAATATGAATGAGACATCTTTTATATGAATGCGCGAATCAACATTGCACTCTAAAAAATATTAGTATGGATTATGCGGTGCCTATATAATTCCTACTGTGTTGGTGTTATTAGCATCAATAATATGGATTTAATCTTAATATTATGTACATATGTACTGTGGTACTATTATATATAAATCTATATCACATCGTAATGGTGTTGATATAAAAGGGTTATAATGACAAAAACAACTGCTGCATTTATGTAGAACGTGAGCACACACCCCCACGTGTCGTCCAGTGTAAATTCATTTACCAACATTGATTTGTATTTATACAAACAAGTCATATTTGAACCATTCTCGTGTTACATTATTTTCCTGTTATAGGCAGATAACAAAGGCAAATAAAAAAATGTATTCGTTAAATTAAATGAGTAAACAATATATTTTGATTCTTCATTTATAAAATAATTCATAATTAATTGATGTGTGCTACTTCTTACTCAAAATCTGACATCGAAATATGATTCCTTACCGGCAACTTCTGACGTTGTACTCGACTGACATCTTGACTAGTTATGGCGTAACTGCGATGTGGAATAATTCGAGGTACGCTCAAATTACTCACGGGTTTCTCAAAAACTTCGGCGACCTCAAAGTGCATTGGCAGCAATGACCTTCGTTGATGATGGCTCGAGTGGAATGTTTGCCGGCGTCTTGACTTAAACTTGGACGGTCTCGAACTCGAACCGCGACGTTTTTCGTCCAAGGATATGGAAATCGAGGCATCTAGAAAATATATAAGATAATTATTCTTATATAATGAGACATATGGATGAAAGATATAATATCGTAATATTATATAATAACCAATTTCTCTCTCTCTCTCTCTCTCTCTCTCTCTCTCTCTCTTCTCTATAAATACTTAATAGCTCTCTTATTTCGATAGAAAAAGATTTATAAAACTGTATGACAAATTTACAATTGTATGGGATATTATAAAATAGATGTAGAAATATTGCAACATAAAATATTGCATATTCAGCGTGGCAAAATTTTAAGAAAAGAATTAAACATTTTTTGAAATGATTATAAAAAATATTTCTATATTAAATTGGGTTTATCGAATTTTTAACAAATATTACTTGGAAATTTTACAAAGTTTCCGACAAAACTGTTGTATTATATAGCGATTCATTTTAGGGTAATTATTGGGAAATTTTTGTCAACTTATGATTTCATTATTGTGCAATTCTTCCAATTTACTTATTAAGAGTATTAAGGTAATACTCTCACCATCGATGTTTCTCTCCCTCGGTGGATTGTAAATAAAATTCGCAGGTAAAGACCGAACTTTAGCCAATCCTGGTCTTACATGTATTTTTTCGTTTACCACCATTGACTCGTGTTCTTTATAATCTTCATCGTCATCTTCGTCGCCATTTATTCTGCCATTCATCACTATGTCGTCCTCATCTTCCTCGTCAAGAAGTTCTTCCTGTTCCGCAGCTAACTCTCTCTCCAATTGTGTTTCCATATCCAGCTCGTCTTCCATCTGAAATGAAATTATCACACGTACCTTTGTAGTCGAAATAAAGTAAAAAGAATGTATTATATAAAATTATCTGAAAACGTCACCTGTTTGTGACTTTCTTCCAAATGTTTCATTAGCACAGCGACGACGACGTTCACCAGTACAAATTGTGCCATCAAAACAAAAATCACAAAAAATATTGGTGCTATGATACTGCTCACGCAACAATTTTTAACACAGTCCGCCGCATCATCGCAATCGTCCCTTAGCGTGTCCTTCATGATTCCATTCCAATTGTCACCAGTGGCGACCCGGAAAAGCGTCAAAAAGGCCATGCCAAAGTTACTAAAGTGCGCGTGCTCGCCAAGACCTTGGCAAGGCATATCATCATTGCATTCTGCGGTGAAAAATTAACATTGTACAAATGGCTGCGTTCGATTCGGGCGATTACGCGCTGTAAGCTTCATTCTTCTTCCTTCTGCATGTAATAAATGATAGAATAAAGCGTACAGCGCGTGTGAGCGCCCAAATCGGACGCAGGCAATTACAAAATTCCAGCTACTATTTCCAATTTTCATGGTTCACCTAAGAACTAATTAGATTCATGTATCGTAATGTCAATTACCTAGTCGACCGAAAAGTTCCACCCCTAGCGCGGCAAATATAAAGAAAAGTAAAAAAAATAACAGCCCCAGATTTCCGACTTGTGGTAACGCCTGCATCACCGTGTCCAAGAGGGCACGTATGCCCTTTGCCATTTTCAAGAGCTTCAACACCCGGGCTATTCGCAACACTCGCATTACGCGAATTATCGTGGGATTAATGGGGATAATTTTAGATTCGACCTCCTCTAACACGATGCCGACCACTGATAGTATTACTATTCCCACGTCCAATTGGTTCCACCTTCAAGAAGAACGCCATTAAGACTGTCTTTCTTACGGACTATATTATTGGTCTATTTATTTTACAACTAACGGCGTCGTGATTCTTGATAAACGTGTTAATAAAAATACTGAAAGGATATTAGGCTGTTTACTTGTCTTTCAGATAAAGCTGTATGCCGAGGGCGACAAGTTTCATTATGGACTCGAGAATGAAAACTGCGGTGAAGAAATAATTAAAGATCTTCAGTGCGTAAGTGAGTGCTTTCGGCATCATATAAAACTCCATCGCCATCGTAACGACATTGAGACCGATAACGGCGGCGATCGCCAGGTCGAAATACTTGGATGTTACAACGTTGTGGACGAACAGCCGTGCCTTAGAATAATGGGTGTAATACGGCGGCTCGTGCATTTCTGAAAATTATCATTATTGCATACACATCGATGTCTCTTAACTCGTAATCCGCTTGGCGTGATGTAGAAGTGGCATTAACCTAGTTGACCGGGCGGCCACTCACTTCGTCTCTTTTTCTCCATTTGCAACGCGCGCTTAGCCGCCCTTCGCACACGTTCCTCCTTCTCCTGTTCTTCACGGCATCTGTGAAAATTCTCGACCACCACTCCGACGAACATGTTCAGCACGAAGAAACCCACCAGCAATATGAACGCGATGAAATACAATAATCGCCACTCAGAGTAATTTTCGATAGGCTGCAATCATTTAGTTGGAAATTATGTGAGGTACTTGGGAATTCAATTATATTTATTATAAACATAAAAATAAATTATATAAATAAAGCAACACTACTTCGATCATACTTCGAAGGCTATCTCATACTGCAAGTTAAAACTGCTTATCTAAATTATAACATATTGTGGAAAAATATCTTTGCGATCAATTAACAGAAAAGTATTATCGAAAAATATTAAACTCATTCAATTTCATAATTTTCTTACCTGCTGATCGACCCCGACAGCGTCTAGACCAGTATACATGATGTTTACCCATCCATCTCGCGACGATAAAACAAACAATGACATAAGAGCTTTACCAAGATCGTCGAAATTGTACTTTCTGTTGAGCCACAGGTTTCGCTTATCGGCTAGACAGTCCGTTTTATTGCGTACATTCTTGATATCGGGGCCTTCGCAATAATAGAACGCACCCTTAAACAGCTGCACCCCGAGAATACCAAAGATCACGAAAAACGTGCAACAAATGAGAACAATGTTGCCGATAGGTCGTAATGAAGACAGCAATGTCTGGACGACCAGCTTTAAGCCAGGTGCACGGTTGATGACACGCAGAGGTCTCAGTGATCTCAGTAGTCTAAATACCTATGTTTTTTTCACAAAGATAATCGAGAAAAATATTAGATAAAAATATATATTAGAGAAAAATATATATCAGTATTAATCAAAATTTAATAAAATTTAATCGATTTACTATACGTGTTTGTTATAATTTAGTCTCAAGATTACATTTATATTATCAAACAACATTAAACATTAATTTTCATCAGGATAGTATTTACCCGAATAAATATTTCAATACTATTCGTTTAATCAGAATTGCTGTTCTAGAGAGGATTAAAAAATTATTATATACTTATTAACAAGAATGACAATCTTACCCTTAAAATGCCAAATATTCTGGGGCTACTAGACGAGAGCAATGACATCGATAAATCAATTATAGAAATGATAACGAGAGATCCGTCCATAATATTCCAACCTGATGTAAAATAAGCGTCTGGACCGTACAACATACTCGTTGCGACGACCTAAAGAATAACATTGAAATGTAAATTATGCGCAATTTTATGTAAATTATAAATAATTTCTTTCATTTATTCTTTCTTAGTTATCATGAAACAATAAAAGTTTTACTTAAGTTATCAGTTTTTGGTTCGAAATTATTATGTAAATGTTATAGACAAAATTTTTGAAACATATTGGTACGTATACCTTAATGAACATCTCGATGGCGAAAACAGCAGTAAAAATGTAATTCGCGGTCAATAGAAAAATTCTCTCACGACTGTCCGGCGGTATATTCGGTCGTTCCATCGCCAGAGTAATGCAATTTAATCCAATAAATAGCAATACCACGTTGTCGAACCATTTTTGATCCACAAACCATTGACATAAAATACGAAATCTGCAATATCGAGAAAGCTATGAATTCTACATTACTCTCTAATTATATAAAAAATGCTAATTATTTACTTCAATTTTATATTTGCAGTCAATTTATAATAATGTGTTATAAAATAAAATCTACATTATTTTTCCAGCGGTTAATTTATTTTACATCTTTATATTTTTATTAATCTTTATTATTATATCTCTATTCTTTCCAGTTTGTAGTAAAATTTCAAACGCTAATCAAGCAACATCACTCCTATTTATAATGTTACCTGTTATTTGGTGGGAATAAATATAGGGAATAATTGTCACGCTCCTGCAGGCAGCCCTTAGGTTCGAAAAACATGAATATCTTTTTTATTCTTTCGATACTGCTTGCGCTACCGTGACCATTCGACGGTGGAGTCTGCTCGCCACCCGTTCTCGGACGTTCTTCTTCTTGTTCATGGAGTCGTTTGATTCTCGGCAGCGGACCAGTCTCCATCGAGAGATTATTGATCGTGCGTGGGGTTGAGGACGGTGCGAGCATCTCGTCCAATGGTAGCGTTTTCCTCGTGGATGTCTGAACATTTTCGTATCCGCGCAGTGAATTTCTCCGTGAAAGCTCGCCAATCCATCGCATCTGTAAATCACGTTCCAGTAATTTCTATAAAGATTCATGGAAAACTCTTTTTTTTCTATAGTTTACAACAAAGATCTTAATGTATGTGTAAAATGTAATGCTCATATAAATATAAATAAAGAATTTTATGAAGCAATTTTGTTGAAATATTTAAAAGTTCGTTAGATTTAGAGCTGAAAATAACTTTATTAAACCATCAAAATAATTATATAGGAGTCTCAAGCATGATGAGCAACCCTACAAAAAGTTTTTATATTGTAGCAACCAATATGAGTGTCCTATATAATTCTCATAGTCTAATAAAATTATTTTCAAATCTGTATCTGTATAAATTTTTAGATTGCTTCAGCAAAATCGTCGTTTCTGTGTATATGTGTTGCTTTATTGATATAATATTTTAAATAGTATTTTTTAATGATATCGGTAAATATCTTCAAAAGGCAATACGTGATATAAAATCAACACAATAATAAAATAACACTGTATGATCTAAGAAATATCAATAAAGATATTGTATCGCACAATTTACCTGGTTAGGCGTAACTGTGTAACGACGAATTGACCATGGAGCATGGCTTTCGAGTGAATTATTAGGACTCAAACTACGATTATTGCTTGTCAGGACGGTAGTTCGATTATTGGGCGCATCGCGTTGAGTATCGTTTCTTATCGAACCGTGTAAATAACCGCCATTAAATCTGCAAGAAATCAAATACTAATTGTTATTATTACGATTATTATATTGCGGTATTTATTTTATTATTTCCAGATTAATTTAATGTACATAAAATAATCAACAAAAACAAATATTGCATGATATAATGCAATATTCGTTTTTGCTGCAAATTTGTTCAGTGAACTTTGGACGTTGATAACTAATTAATTAATTAATTAATTAATTAATTAATTATTCATGTCTTTTGAGAGTTATTTGGGATAAATAATATTTTTACGTTAGATTGGATCCAACGAGAGTACTACGCCCATTGTTTAGTACAGTAGTATGGCCGGTGTGCTCATCATCGCTTTGCGACCATCGTTTCCTCCCCAAAGATGGCCGCGACAAGCGCCAGGAGTATCCTCTTTGTACCCTCGGCGGACTGAAATGGAAAGAAGTGGTATCAGAAAAAAGAAAGGCATTTAATGTAACAGACAAAACGTAGATACCTAGAACTCGAGTCCCTCGTCGAGGGATTAACAACGGCCGTAACGAGGCTTATGCGTCTCGGGAATTGACCAGCTATTAAGTTATTTGTCGGTATTTTGTTGGATACATCAGGTAGCTTTAGCAATCCCGAGGGTATACTGCACTGACTCTGCGAATACAAAGCACTCGTCATTATCATATTTTCTCGTAATGTACCTTCTTTAATCCGGAATTCTAATCAAATACAGTAGGAAATCTTTTGAACTTAAAATTGTATGGGAATTTCGCGATATTAATTGATCTAATTCGACATAAAAAACGAACGGGTTTTTAAGTACAGATACGAATGTATTATGTACAATATATCAATAACACAGCAAAAACTTCCGTCTGCGTCGTTTAACGACGACGAGTTTTTTTATTGAAATGAAACAACATACACCAGATCGATCGATGGACTCGATTGAAAGGGCAGCAGTCGGATAAACTGCTCGACAATTGAGGTCTCTGTAGCCGACATCTAATGTGGTGTTCGGGGAGTCTTGAGGAGTGGCTGCTGTATGAGTAATTATCGGCGGCTGACCCGCCACACCCATCATCTTGCTCTCTTTCTGAATGTTACACTTAGGTTCATCGATCCGTTGCTTCCATACGCTGTTCTGCTTCTCCCTGTTGTCCTTGTACTTCCTGAGCTCTTCTGCACTTTGCCACGAATTCTTTTGATCCTACAAGTTGCACGAGGGAAATTTGATGTCGATTCATTCAGATAAATCAATAAGGTAAATAACTCGTTTGTTATAATTCTATTCGTACTTCTCTAGCAATCAATACAATGAGTATATAATATATAGATAACTCGGAAATTACATTTTTTAATATATTTAATTCATGCCTAGAATATTTTAGATATCTTGCGAATTTTATAGATAACTCGGAAATTACATTTTTTAGCATATTTAATTCATGCCTAGAATATTTTAGATATCTTGCGAATCTTAAAATGTTGATTATGCTGATCCTTTTCTGTAAAAGATTCTGAAAGAATATTTTAAAATAGAGACGACGTTCACAATCAATCTTTTCCACATGATAGAAAATGAGGAATAAACGAGCGTAGAATTCTAGATTTATTTGTTTGGAGCGACTGCGAGTAACTACCTGAGTATACGTATCGCTGTCAGAGATCGAATGCGATCCCGATATTCTTGATGATCCGTCCTCGCTGCCTATTCCAGCTTCTTTTGCGGCGAGTCTTTTTGCCAATTCTCTTTGCTCTCGTTCTCTCCTCTCGTTTCTCTACAAAATATCATCAGTTATATACCCTTCATATACACGTATATATAATTATAAATTTTCATAAACATAAATATATTTAATTAGGGAATAATTATGATTTTTTACGTAAACCATCGCTTGGGGTATTTTTATACTCCAATTAAAATCACTATTATTAATAATATATCATTGATTACTCTTTCCGATTTATCAATATTTTAAATTAAATATTATGGGTATAGATTTACTCACAATTTTCTAAAAAAAGTAAATGAAAATCATAAATAAATATTAAATGAAATAAGCATATTTTTGATGAAATTGTATATTTAAAGGTTTATAGAATTGAGTGTTAAAAAAAGAAAGAAAATATGTTAAACAATATATCCATATAAAACAATATTTTACAATTCATATTTTCGCCGCTGGGATATAAAAACAAACAACTATTCTCAGATTAAGACAGATTTGTCTGCAATATAAAACAATCATTAGATTAAATTTTTAGTATAGATTGGGAGATTTTTATAAATATTACATATTTATTTTACATTTTTGTATCTTCCGCATTACATATTAAATATTATATTGAATAAGAAAAACAACGTATTATTTTCTAATTCCTACCTCCGATGAGAAACCTTCAACAAGAATGGCGACTAGAAGATTAAAGAGGACGTAGTTGCCAAAAGTCATCAATGCTACGAAATAAAGCGCAGCCCAATGAGACGTCTTCTGCATACCGTTGAAGAGGACGACATTCCAATCTTCCTGTGTGAGAATCTACATAAAAAGAAGAATGGGAAAAGACTCCCGCTGCATATAAATGGAATAGATATCTACACTTATTTATTCAGGCACGTGATCGGCAAAACGTTCTTTCTTTCGAAGCGTGGCAAAAATTTACGTAGTGTAAAATATGTTCGCGCGCAGATAAAAAAAAATTTTATATATCTTTTTTTTGTTAAGATTCAAATCGTGTGTGTGTGTGTGTGTGTGTGTGTGTGTGTGTGTGTGTTTGCAAATTATAATGAATACGATCAAATAATTGAAATTATTGGACAAATATAACGAAGTTACAATAAAATTAGTAATTATGACAATGATACTATTATGCAATAAATGTATATATCTCTCTATTTAAAGATTCTATTATATCTATTGACTCGTTAGCATATTACATTGGTGTTAACCATTTTAATTACGTATTTCAAGTATTGAATTATACATTACGTTAAATATAGTTATTTATGTTTATTATGAAAAGTAAAGAATGAAAATGGAGTAGATTAAAAAAAAAGTAATAAAGTAACTTTAACTAATTTGCATTAACAAATTCTGGAAGCAAACAACTTATTTTTATAGAATATTTTTTAAAATTATTTTTTTTTAATCAAAATTATTTAGATACATGCAATCGCGAGAGAGATCGACATTCAAAACAAGTCGACGTTGAGTCCAAATATTCGATAGAGACGCACGAAACGTTTTGCCAATCAGTGTCGCAATACTTCGTAAAAATGCATGCGTCATGTTTTCTATCACGAATTTCTCTTTGCGAGAGCTTTCGTGTTCTATCCACGTATTCGTCTATCTAACTTTATCAACTTTTCAGTCTCTTCTACTTCTCCTTCTAGCCTGTTAACGTTACACGCTGTTAAAAAATTTTTTTAAATCAACATTCAAAAGAAATTAATTCAATGTACCGAATAAACGATCAGTATCGAGTGTTAGTAGGATTGTTATTTACATGCGCAAAAAATATATTGTAGTAATTGTTAATAGTATTCAATCTAATCTATTCGAATTTAAACAGTTTCCACGCGTACATTGACAAGAATGAGATTTAACGATACAAATACAGAAAGCAACTGTCAACATATATTTATTATTTAATTTATTAACATTTATGGACATTTATTCTTTTTGAATTATAGAACAAATATCTATTATCGCGAATAAAAGCATATATACCTCTGATACATAATAATCATTAATTGTGCAGTGACAAATTTAGAAAGTTATCGATATGCGCCATCAGACTGCATCGTAGAATACAGATGTAAACGGAAACACGTGATAGAAAGGCAGAAACTCGAGCAACTTCTGCAGCACATTAGTTGCTTTACATGGATGAGGCGTGTGCTGAATCGAGATCACAACACACACTCGTGGGTAGAGTCGTCCTCGCGCAGTTTGATCTGCGCGAGTAAACGATATGGTGGAACGTGAACGTCGACATGTATACGTATATACCGATTGCACGCATGTAAATACAAAGCAACCATTAAGGCTCTGTCACTCGGCACGGATAACAAAGAGAGAAGAATGGACAAAGCGTGGGCGGGCTTAGGGGACAGTGGGATGTCTGGGTCCGTTTGCTCAACACGAAGAAAAATATATGTATATATACATATATATATATACGATCCGGCGATCTGTACAGACAGAGAATGTGGACACGAATATAGGTAGGAAAATAAAAACCGTGTACACGAAAAATTGGCTACGCATATATACGTGTATGTCGCTTTAAACATGTAAAAAATTCGTTATCATATAGTGTTAAGAGAGGGAGGAACAGTGGTACCTGAAAAACAGTGACTAGTGCCCAGACGATGTCGTTGAAATGTTTGCGATCACAGCGACACAATGGGTGCCGCGAGACCACCTCGGCACAGGTGCAGGGCCGACTCCGGTCCGCCCACATGCAAAACTTACCCCCGAACAGGTACATCCCTAGGATGCTGCAACCGAGACAATCCGCTGGCCTAAAGTATCCCCGCGATAGAGATAAACAGTGGGGTGAGGTGGGACCAAGTGGTTGATGGGATTGGGACGGTACGATTGCCGTTCAGCGTCTCCGTTCTCACTGTTTTACTCCATATATATATGTATATATATATATATATATATATATATATATATATATATATATATGAGCGACCTTGTTATTTACGTAATTAATTAATGCAGGAAGTACATATGATTGGTTAACTTTATCTGGTATATTTATCGTAATAATTACTACTACGTTAGTGACATTTGATTACGAATATTGTACGAACATTAATATCGCTAGTGTCGATCATTAGCATTTTTGCATCAATTGGCAGGTGACTATGACAAAGTTGCTGATCTACACATATGAAATAGACATTCAGATAAAAAAATTAGAAAATTAGTTTAAAAGCGTATTACTCTTTCTTCTTATTTAATGATTGTATAATAGCTTGATTTTTAATTGGCTCTGTGAAATGTCAGACTGCACAATAAAAACGATTGTTACGAAATCATTTTTGTTCGTTTCAATCTGTAGTTCGTTATTTTTGTGCTTAAGTAACAATCTAGGTTTAAAGCTCATATTTTAAAAATATTTCAACAGAGAGAAACGTCTATTTTTAACTCTTATATATTGTGTATATGTGTATGTGTGTGCGATAGGAGATTTTTTTCGATTCATCGTGCCAATAAATACTTGTATATATTACAGATATAAATATCCGTCTTTAATGCTTTTATATCTTGTGTTAAATCATAGCATAAAAATTTTTAAGTAACACTGAATCAAAATAATTATACATATATCGAATTAATATTCGAATAACTAAAATTATCGTAAAAATGTATTTTCTCTCAAATTACAAAATTTAGTATTTAATAATTTGTAATATGAAGAATTTAAATAATTCTTAAACTTCTTTTTTGCAAGTTGTTTCTAAATTGATTTATAAAATTAATTTTAACAGATTCGGTTTTTGGAGAACGGAGGCACTGTGTATCGGTAAGGAATTAAGCAAATGTGTTTGACAAAACAGCGAAAACGACTGTCACTCGAAGCTCGTACAGTCACATTCTGCAAGTTCGGCGTGTTAGTATATATATATAAATATATGTATTTTGTATATTTGCAACAATATAGGCGAATGCGTGTAAAGTAGGTATACATTTATGGATTGTGGGCGGATCGTATCGACTGTGTGCGGTTGTAACGGTTTATTCGACGGGACGGAACAAGGAATAAGAACCAAAATTAAAAAAAAAAAAAATAGTTACTCTTTACTCAAAGAACAACTATAAAATTTCTTCTTATTAAAGTACATTTAATTCTCCCTGAAATTACTCAAAGAGACGTGAAATGTAAATGTAAATCAAACATTTCATATGAGTTCGCGTATATCATATAATCTCTCGACGTAATGCGTCATACAAGCGTATTAATTGTTTAATGTTTCACGCGGGCAATCAATAATGCTAATTTTAGGACGCACATTGGAACAATAATTGACTCTAACACGACGTGACGTCCGGTCCGCGGAAGTCATAACAAACATTTATTCGGACGCGTCCGCAAAAGTATTATCTGTCAAGCTTGTCAGTTGTGTTACGTTGGCTGATTTTTCTTGCAAATTTCGTTTCGTTGACATTGAAGGAAAGTCGGGGGCGCCGAACGTGGGCAAACATGACGAGAGCTTTAAATCAACGTCGACAGAAATCCGCACACACTTTACGGATGTAAACTGGCGTGAAAATAAACGGGGCGGAAAGAGAGCTTCGGTAACGCGATCGCGAAGAGAAGAGAATAGTGGAGAAAATAAGGCACCTGCCGTTGCAGAATGTCACGGCGAACGTTTTGCGAGAGAGGGAAAAAAGGGATAATTGCCACAAGCGTAAATATATAATCCTCTAATACGCAAATACGGTGTAATATGTATTACGGAAAAATCTGTCTCAGCGAGTATTTACAAAAGATACGCACAAATCTACCGAGACTGCACTGATGTTAATACGACGTTACGTGCCTTGTGCGCGATCTATATATATATATATTTAGCTGGCTCGTATTTCTAAAATTAAATAAAAAGAAATTGTCTCTCTCTCTTTCCACTACAACTAGAAAATACTAGTTGGTAGTCCTTCGGACAACCATAATAACCTGATAACTTAGACTACCAAAAAACTGGATCAAATCTGATCCAACTTCTAAAAAGCATTCTTTTTCAAAGTATATACATATTTAGTAAGAAAATATATAATAACAATTTTAAATGAGTATTTACTTTTAAATAGATGCAGATACGTGCGATAATATAATAATAAGATATATATAAAAGCTGTTTAGTTATTCGGGCTTCTCCGAAATCTACGTGTTGAGCCTTTTAGCCTATATATTAGTTTATATCGAAGGTAGAAACGCGTTTTGTTCGTGTTAGTCGTGTACGTTGGACACGAGGTCCCATCTCAGGTCCTCGGGTGTTTAATTATGAAGGATTTTCTGACGCGACGATTCTCCTGTCGGGTCGAGTCGATATTTCACGCACGCATTGTACAACACGGGACGAAGTTCTTTTTGCGCTCGAGTCGTCGTGGGCGTTTTAGAGAGAAAGTGACAGAAAAGTTACGGATAGAAAAACGAGTAAGAAAAGAAGAAGAGAGAAAGATAGAGGTAGGATAGTACGAAGAGAAGTGTAATGTCGTAAGTGGTGAGGTGAAGTATAGTGAGAAGTACATAGTGAAGTATAGTGAGAAGTACAGGGAAGACACAGAGAGAAATATATAAGCGTGTGACAGAGAACAGTTTATATTGTGCTACACTGTTAAAAATGTGTACCGTGATATCGTGGCATCGTTTTACGTTTAAAGTGCATAATTATCGTAGGTGAAGTGTGTGAAGAAGCATGAACGCCGAGACCAAGTTGATCTCTCGGCCTGTGATTTAGCTTCTAATTTCGTAGAAAATCCAAGAACACGATTCGCGCTATTTGCCGATGTCGCCGCGATGTCACAAGAACCGACGTGCGAGAGATCGGTCGCCGCTGGTTGCGACGCTTCTTTTTAGCAGTGTAACTGGTAGAAGTTCTGTAGTGAGGTACATGAATGTCGATCTTCGTAAGAAGACGTGATGTGCAACTAGGTGTGATATATACGCGCGGTACAAAAAAAACAACGGCAACAGCAACAACGACAATGCCGACCCAATGTCTAAGAAGGCACATCGCATGCAAAGCAATTTGCGCAACACGCGCGTTGTACCGATATGAATCGGGGCAAGAGTCTCATTTTCGTCGATATATTGGCAGTCCAGGCCAGGACAAAGAGCCAACCCTGGGATCGCCATGTAATCCTAGAACGGCCATTTACCGCATCGTTTAGGCAGGATATGGCCTGTCCGGGCGATCCTAGAATGGCTGCCAAACAACACAAATATTGTGAGCACGTCCAGAAATATCGACTTATTATCTCTTTAGGTCTGTTTTTTTTTATTCCTGCACTAAAACTTTTTTTTCGTCTTCGCCAAAAATCAAACGCATCTATTTCATTTATATTTAAGACAGTCTTAAGTACAGTCTTAAGATGTCATAAGCCAATCACAGAATTATATTAGCATCTTAAGGCATTACTTAAGACAATCTTAAAATAAGAACCGCTATGAATACCACTCTATGTTCCAAAAGTGTACATCAGTTCAGTTAGAGAAAATAGACCTACAGTGTTCCCATTGCACTCGCAATTTAAACGTTTGCATTATTTGTGTTGTTGCTCCCCGTTTGGACGCGCATAATGGATGTTTATTATCCACTGCCATGAGAACGTATGGAAAGGATTGACATGATGTTTTCCACCGTTCAATCGCTTTGAGACTCTATCGACGAATATTTCTACACACCGGTCTTCGATTTCCTATATTGTTAAAGATTTCAGTGGCGCAATTAGCATTATAACTAAATCATCTATTTTGATAATCAATATAACATCAATATAACATCAATATAAAAGTAATGTCAATATCACCGACATAGGGGATAAGCGAATGAGTATGCGAAGCGTCTAAGCAAAGTTTTCTCGATGCCTGAGCGAAAATGCCTGCACTCTTACAAAAATCTTATGTTTTTCAAAGTACATTCATGCGTGTCAATTCATCCATTAGATCCACTCTTACGTGACATTGCTACAAATCATATAATTTGTTTCATCTTTTTTTGTTACGTGCTCAAAATTGTAATTGACAATTCGTCTTCTGCGATTGATAGTTATTATCTCGAAATATTTGTAAGCTGCAGGTAATTTCGCTCGTCGTTGCGACACACAGAGAGAACAGGTGCATGCGAAGACATGCCAGAAGGGAGCCAGCTCGACGCGCTCGCAGAAGACGCGGCAGGAGGCAGCGTATTAACGCACGCGTATATATTGTGCTTGTAAAGCGACGGATAAACGTGAAATGAAGAAGCACCGGGATTATTGCCGGCACAATCGTATGCAACGTTTGACAATCCACTCCGGATAATCCGCGTGCCTCGACTCTAAGCCCCCCAGTACCGGCTCTAGGCAGGCTTTGCCTCTCCTCTTCCCCAATGTATCCGTCGCAGAAAATACGATATTGAAGAATGATCTCCCTTGTAAAAAAAGCTTCGTATAATACTTCGATAAGCATACTTTATTAAAGTCTTTATTACTTCTAGTCGGTACCGGTAGCCTCCTCCTGCCTTACCCCCCCCTCCCCCCTCCCCCCTTTCCCCTCCCTTGTCGAAGAAGTGACGACGACATGCTGGAAAGCGCTTATCTCCCAGTATACGTTACCTGAGGCCTCAGAAATCATATAAAGTGCAGGCGGACGCACGTTGCGAGAGATCGCACGACTTTAACTTGTCGGAAAAACCAAAACGTGATAGTACGTATGTATACTTAGCGTATATATATATATATGTAGATGCGGTGTAGTATAACGTTAATATATATGCACGAATAAATATATATAAGTAATATACACTATATAGAGAAATCAAAAATGCCCTCGAGAAGATACGTGAAAAAGTATCCTTTTTTTTTTCTTTCTCTTTTTTTTTTTTTTTTTTTGGTAGGTACCTGAAACACCGTCACAATAGCCCAGAGTAACGAGTCAAAGTTTTTCCTATCACACTCGACGTCAGAGCTGCCTTTCATCGTTTCACAGAATTTGCAACCAAACAGGTTCATCCCGAGAATACTACAACACAACGAAACGTGCAATGTACTTCCTTATCCATATATATATGTATATATATATACGTAGACTGAGATAAAATGACAAAAAAAAAATGATAAAGAGATAGAGACAGAATAAACGGAAAGAGAGGGGAGTAAAGCTCGATTAAGATAGAATCGCGATTTATAAAGCATGACTCGGCCAAGTAACCGATCAGTTCAAAATATGTATATACAAAGAGTTCTAAATCCATCGGATATTTTTTCAACTATAAATTCGACTTACAAAAGGAGAGAAAACATTGTCACAAACATTTAACTTTAAATTATTTAATTGTCTTGCTAGAGAAAGAGAAGAAATATTAAATTAGATATCTATTTAAGTTTATTTAATTATGTAGAATCGAATAATTCTCACACACAGAAGCTCCGCCAAAAATAACATTCAATGTTGAATTTATCTATGGCTGAATGAACATCCGATAGTTTTATGACATTTTGTATATATCATGTGTCTCGTAATACGGCGAAAATGCAGAATCGATCGAATGACATTCTTTCACGATCTTTACGTCGTAAAGTATAATGTTCGGTAAACACGACGTATCTCATAAAAGGAAATGTGTAGGATGACAATACCGGTTTCTAGAAGCGCTTGAGAAAACTTAAATCGATTTTGACATGAACTTTCGTCGTCCGTCGTAATCTGAAACCTTGGCCGAGTAAGTCGGAAGCTTGCTTGCGATCACGATGCAAGTACATCGAGAGTACTTCGTTATTTAGTGTACGCCGGCCGATCAAAGAAGGAAAAATTCCTCTAAAGCGGATCTGTCGGAACTTCATTCGCGGCTTGCGGCTAAAGAAGGATGCAAACACCTAGAGATGGCCGTCGAAGAAAATGTCTACGGATCGGCGCGCAGAGGCGTACCCGCAAGCATTTGCATAGTTTCGTACGACTTTGTATTCACTTCTGAAGGTTCACTTTATGTTTAAGAGAGAGTTTTGAACAAAAAAGATCACTGCATTTGCGTCAAATGCGCGATGTTGCCAAATGTTCTTCCCTGCTCTTTCCTTCTTCGCAATTCCTCGAAAAGAATCTGCTTGTAAATTACATTTTACACATCAAAATATTAACTTACAATTCTATTTTAATCTAAGAAATGCTTAAGGCTACTCTTGTCACCAAGACTATTAAAAAATCAAATTTTTAGGTATTTTAATAAGGTTATTGATGATATACATTTAATAATAATAAAATCTCTCCTTTTTTTTACTTTTAAACATTTTAAACATTTAATTAATTGTTAGAGTTATTCGAGTACAGCGAAATTTTCAATGTTTGCGTCTACGTGTCTGCGGCAGATATCGGGCAATCAGTTACAGTATCGAGATCGCAATAGCAAGGGCTGCGGCTGCGGTGAACGGCAAATCGGCTATCGAACGGTCGTAAAACGCGTCGTAAACGCACGGATGTATATAGTGGGAGGTCCTACGCAGCATGACGAGATATATATATGTATATATATGTAATTCTGCAGAGCGGGGGTATATGTCGAACATTCGCAAGCTGTTCTAATATCGAGGGCCACACCGAGGCGCACGCACTTAATTATAGGCGCTCAGAGTAGCAAGAGAGAACGATAGCGGGAGAGAATCAAGTGTATATATGAATATAAATCAAAAATATGATGATAGTAAATATATATATATATACATATAGCCTTTCATACTCGTCGCTAAGACGTCCAGCAGAAAAGCATCACATGCACACACATGTAAATATATATTCCATATACGTATATATATATTTATATATAGATATATTTTCTAGATAAACGTCGAAAGTACGTTCGATGCCTCAAGCTATAAAGGAGGAGCCGGCAGCAGACCGGGTCCCTCCTTGTAATAGATCGTGCCAACAAATACCATCGTCATTACCATTAACAACGTCAGAAAATATGCCGCTCAAAGAAACGCTAGGAGACGCGAGAACACGGGACAACTGCTGGTAAAACTGTTTGAGAACTTCTATATATATATATATGTGATATGCATAATTGATGGCGGCTTATACACCGCGCAGAAATAAAGTAAAAGCGAATAAAGTAGAAGAGAAAGGTATGAACGGAAGAAAGTCACCTAATGTAGGCCTCGGTTCGAAGAGCAGCTGCACGCGATTTGCTCCTGAAGCTCGAAAGCTCGTAGAAGCGAACAAGAAGTTGTTTTCGAAATATCAAGCGTCGACGACATTATTATCAGCGTCATTGTTATCAAATAAACATGATTAAATTTAAAATGCTGCTGAATGAGTAATTAATAAAAGAGCGGGAAGAAACAAAGATAGAAGTTAAAAAAATTCTTTTTTGAAGGATTATAATTATTACATGTTTTTCTCAAATATAAGTAGTATTTTAAATAAAAATATCAGTTAAAATTATCTAGGATTCTTATTCTTTTAAGAATTAAGGCTTGTTTCCACTGAAGTGGATCATCTTGATTAGCTTCTTGGTTTCTTCTTTTTTTTTTTTTTTACAAATGTAGGAAAAGTTAATGCGCCGATTGGCACGGTGGCTTCAGTGCTCTCTAAAGACAAAATAAACAGTTCATTCTTTTAGGGTAAGATTTATTCTAAAGAATTTCTATATAAAGAGCGGGGACGAGTCTTCTTAAGAAAGACGTTTTAATCTAAAAATAATTTTTTAGGGATAAAAACTGATTATAGCTATTATACTTTCATATGTATTTATAAAGTTACAAAATAAAATTATTAAACACAACTTTTATCGCCATTATTGCCGAGACAGTTCTGAATATGTTATAATAAAATTTACAAATTTACAAAACTCATTGAACTTTTTCCTGATGTTCCCGTAAGCCTCCCACATGGTTTACAGGATTAATGACTAATGTTATCGTCATCGACGCTTCATATTTCCAAGCTCTTGCTCAATTTTGGTTTCACAATACCTATCGACAGTTTCGTAACTTCGATCCGCCTTGCCAGACATGCAAACGTTACTAGGCTGATGAGATGATAATTAGAACAGGAAGACGCGACAGCGCCCCATAACCGAGTAAACGCGACACGTAGGTTCAGTCGGGCGGTTTCCTCGCGGTTGAACTCATCGAATTACTCATCGGCGATGGTACCGATTCGCGAAATGGGCGAACGACGCACGCAAGAGAAAAAAAAAAAAGAGAAAAGAAACAGAGAAGCGGAAACGGAGAGAAGATCCGGCGACGTGGGCTCGAGGCCCGTAATTCCGCGGCAGTGTCGCTGACGCGGACGAAGATAGGACGGCGACTTACCTGAATATAAAGATGAAAAGTACTAAAAGAGAAAAGAATACGGCAACGTTATCCATGGTGCGCAGCATCACGAAAAGCTGACGTCGTAGATTGGGTAGAAATCGCACTAGCTTCAGGATCCTGAGGAGGCGGAACGTACGCAGGACACTCAGACCGGAACTGCCGCCACGCTCCTCTACGACTGATTGGCAGAGCTCGACGACGCTGTAAATGCGTTGCAAGGAGTGCAATTGTGTTATCGTTTGTCAACTTGTTGTAGACGATCCGTTCTCAAACAGCTTTACGAGACAGCCATAACGAATGAAACGATCTACTACCGTCTGTTATGACTTTCTCGTAAAGTCGGAATGTGACTATAAAGTTGAAGGAATTGCGCTGACAATCGTGTGTGTGCCTACATATTTTACACAGCAATATTGTATACGTGAGCTATTTAATATTATTGTTTACACACACGAAGGCTATTATCTTTTTATATTATAATATCAAAATTTGCGAAGAAAGTTGCTATACCTCAGGACGACGACGATGCCGTCGAAAACGTTGAAGCCGTTACTGATATAACCAAATGGACCTTCCGCTATTATTTTAAGCAACATTTCCACCGCGAAGATTGCAGAGAATACAATGTTGCTTATCTCAACGGCCACTGTTAACTGTTCTGGCTGAGTACACATAATATAACATAATTAATAACATAATCATAATTAGTAATTACACTTTACAGAGTACTGTCTTCATTTTAATTGCGTTATGTAAGAATGGATACGGAAAGAACGATTTTGCTAAAGTATCTAAAAATTTTGCTACATACAGCTCAGAAAATAATTTTGCTGAACTATCGATAAATAATTATGTACGAATAATGTAGGACACTCAAACTAAAATATGAAAATTTTATGCAGCATTGCATATCATGTTTGAGTGTCTTATATAATTATTCTGATAGTCAGACTAACAAAAATTAATTTCTATTTAGCTAAATTTTTAGATATTTCAGCAAAATTATTCTTTCCGC